GTCTAGTTCCAATATTTTGTTTAATTCACGACACTTGAGTAAGCCATAAACTATAGAGGATATGAGCAGTGTAGCCAACTCCAAGAGAATGTTCCGCCTAGAACCAACTGCTAAAACCCTAAATATCGATTAAAACCCCTAAAGATTATGTTCTATACTTGGTTTGAGAGGTAATTTCAATTATACAACAATACTTGTAGTATAAAAGTTAAGTTATAGAGTTTATATTTAATGTAGTTTATTGGTTGGATTTTAGGCTTAGTATAAATTGTATAGAATCGAAGTACCCTCTAAAAACCCCATAATCTTACCATCTTGATTCCCCCTAAATTTGTAGGGAAAACCTCGAAGTTGGCCTCACTGGATATGAATGACATAACAAAAGCGCATTCATTGAATAAACACACTTCAAAGAGTAGGGCACAGACTAAAAAAAACCGAACGAGAAATATATCAATTCGATATTTTTTTTTTTTTTTGTCTATTATAGACAAATGTCAAATCGTATTTGCAGTAAATAGGTTCCATAAGTTTTGTAGTCAAGTGTAGTTTCCCGGATATTAATTGTAGTAATTGTAACATCATTTTAATATTTACTATTGCCCGAAGAACGGATAACCGATGGGGCAAAAAGTCCTGGAATGGAGGACCAGTCGGCAAAGCGTTAGATGACCTATTACTGGGTGGACAGATGACCTAGTGAGGATGGAGGGAAGGCGTTGGATACAAAGCCTATGTCCTGTCAACAGTCTGAAACGACGAACGAAACGAGATTATTTTTATCGAATTAGTTTAAGACATGAACGCGACTAGGATGAATATTTATTTAACATTGTGTCTGCACGGAGTATACTTAGGGAGATACATACAGAGGTTATACTTGGAAGGGTCTTGGACTTTGATCGAAGTTTGTAATAGGGTCACGCTATTAATTATTAAAGTAGTTATCAGTTATCTGTGAAAGAATTAATCTTAGTTTAACGCCATTTTCTACATTATTTTCAGTTTGGGCATGGACTATCCTAAATCCGCTCAAACATTAAAGTGATAAAAATGTGCTAAGAGTAATAAAATAACTATTTTATAAAAATATATCATTGTGATGTCTATACTGAAAAGTCTTTAGAGTTAAAATCAAACAAGCTATTTTTAACGCAGAACAATGCCAAAAATAAAGTCGGAAGTTGATGAGGAAGCGTATTTTAATTACTTCGTGATCAGAATACCTACATTAAAGATTTGTATAATACACCTGTTGTAGGCCGTTCAAAATAAAAATATCTTAAAACTATTGTGCAACTGACTCGAAGAATTTATAACGTTTTCCCTTTTTATTCTAAAAAATGGTGAATAATTTACGTTATTAGTACAAATTTTTTACTTACAGAATGAGCTCATCTGATATCAATTGATATCTTCTTAATGGGCAGCAGTAGCTTGTGCCGTCATCTTGGCATGCTCTTGTTCTCACATTGTTTTCACCGGGAGCGAGTATTAAACGCACGCATTATGTAGGTACGCACATTCATTGGTGCACAACCGTGGTTCGAACCTACTACCTCAAGAGAGTCGCAGCCTGAAGCCACTAGAACACTGTTCTCCACCAAACTATGTCCGATAAAAATATTTTAAAATAATAATTTAATTTCATTGGTAACATTTTTGCTCTCTATAAGACATATACCAATATGTATAGAATCGACATAGTGAGGTCGACATACAATTTGAATTACACATCTTCAATGTAACTTTACATTTTCAATGTAAAAATAAAATCTCAATTTTTATAAATTATACCTGAAGATAAATTATCACCTCGATATCTTCAATATCGTACTCTAAATTGAGCTAATTAAAATCATTTTAATATAAATATAGATAATATTCATAAAACAAATCTATATAAATAAATTTTAAAATTATTTATTAAAAATAATCGATCGATTTATGCCTCGTAAATAATCTCCCACGATTATTGAGTCCTTTGACATATTGAAGGCCAGGGTTTTGAACAATAAAAAGTTGTTGTTCTCACAGTAGACAGGTAAATAACTGGTATTAATTTACGCAGCTTTTATGTCCCCAATAATAAAAATACTGTGGAAATACTGAGTCTGTAATACAATTCACACAATTTATTATTACACTTACTAAAACTATTAAAAAAAACTAGTGGCAGTACAACCTTGTTAGGTCTGGGCTACAGATTTCTGTAGCTAAGGAAGTCGGTTTCCTCATGACGTTTTCCTTCACCGTTCGAGTGAATGTTAAATGCGCACATAGAAAGAAAGTCCATTGGTGCACAGCCGGGGATCGAACCTACGACCTCAGGGAGTCACTCGCTGAAACCAATACTGCTCTCTAAACTAAAGTTTTTAGGTCCGTTTAATTAATGATTATAGATTTGAGCTACTACAGCCAAACAATGGACACTAAGAGACAGCGCAAACTTGTATGTTAAAATCTAATACAAGGGGTTCAAGTGCGTTAATTAAATATTTAAGTTGGCGCCTGGTTGATAGTACCGGTGAACCCTGAGCTGGTGCTTTCCTCTCTCAACAAATAAATATCGCAATACAGTGTGGAAATGCTGCCAGCGTTAATACGCGTTGTAGACCAAGAGCTAAGCTACGTTAGTTTAGCTTAGCTCGCATAGCTGACGCAATTTTCCATACATCTGTGCAGACCGCAAACTATGCGAACTAAGCTATGTGAGCTAACTAAAATATGCGAAGCTAAGTTAGTTGTGTATGCCGATGCGCAGCTACACGAGCTAAGTTAAGCCCCTCCCGCTACACCGCACACCCTTTGCACATACTATGCAACACTGACTGAGCTTTGGGTTAGCTGTTGGTGTGCACGCTATTTATTTCTAGCTTAGCTTAGCCTAGCTTGCTTGGCATAGCTTAGTTTAGCCTTGGCATAGCTTAGTTTTCGGTCTGCAACCGGCTTTAAGGTACACTGCCACAGAGACCAAACTTTTAAATCTGTTTTAATGTTCTATTTATTGATTTTTTATTATTTTTATCATAAGGTAAGTACTTACGGTAAGAAAATTGTAAATACTGTATATTTGATTGTTATGTTTAGGTTTTAATAAACTACATATATATTACATGACATATAATCTAGGTTCTGAAACCTTCCTACGAAGGTCCTATATATTTCTACCGTAGTTCCAAGACATGAAACGGTCACCGCAGACAGAAATATATATCATGGCGTATCAATTTAATCATTCAAATATTATTTTAATCCTCTAAATTACGTATCAAACGATTTTCATGTTAAATCCCTTATCTTGACTTGCGATAATATGTTTGTATGTTTAATTGTGCCACATATGGTATCTAAGAAAACTTTCCATGACGCTCTATTTTTGTTTTTACGATAACAGTTTTAATCAATTTATTATTGACATGAAATAAAATAAAATATAAATGTGTTGAAATGTAAAAGTATCTGAAATAAAATGCTATTTTTATTATTATAACTGTACTGTATTCTGTATTATTGCAACGAAATGTAAATTAATAAATGTTCTTTATTTTTAACGCTCACATATTATATGCGTAGTGACAATGACAATTGCTGGCGAGATCAAAACCTTACCTTTCATGATTAACCTGACGACATTAAGTCTTTATTGACCAGCTGCCCACTGAAGTATTTCCGAACCAGTTCAATATAGGTCCTTCAAGAAAAGAGATTACCAATTCTTAAAACGCGCTCGTGAGTTCTCTGGCATTGAGTGTCCATGGGCGGTGGCATCACTTAACATGAGTTGAGCCTCCAGCCCGTTTATCCCATTTCTATAAAAAAGTGAGAGCGTACAAAGTACACATGTCAAGTCATACTTCTTTGGCAAACTAATTTTTAACTCTTGTTCATATTTATACAAATCTAAAACTTTAGGTTTCCGAGACTTGGAGGGAAAAAGGAAGATATGTTAGGAATTTAATGAATTTAATTGAATTTAATTGAATTTATTTTTAATTTTTTCTTCAATGATTAAAACACGTGGCATTTTAATTTACAATTCGTCATTTAAGATTTCAATAAATTATTTAGCATAAAATATGTATTAGACATATTTCATAAATTCTCCTTACGAAATTTTAATTTTAAAAATACAATTTCTATAAGGTAATTCACCCATCTCACTCTCTCTCAATCGGTCTCAATTGATCTCTCCCTTTCGACAAAAACGCTGCACATCTTCGTGGCGTTCCGTAAAAATTTAATCCTCATGCGCCTAAAGAAGTTTCACTTAAAAAAATATATAATATTAACTGTACCAGCCAGTTGTACAATGAAGTCCGGTCTATTTAAGCCTAAAATCAGGAGGAAGGTTACATAAATTCCCATAAAGCTGAATATTGGCATAGTTGTTCAAAACATCATTATAAAGAAAATCTCAAAAGTCCTCATCGTTCCGAGGTGTGCTAAAAATTTGGCACGGGGTCAAAGGTCAAAAAAATGAGTTTTTTGCGATTTTTAGCGAAACGGTGAGTTTTTTCGCAAAATTACCCCAGTACAAAATTGTAGATCACGAAATTCTCTACAAAAAATATATTAATAATTTTTTTCCTAAAAGCCACCATTTTGGAGATATAACGTTCCGAAAAGTTGGATCAGTCGTAATCCCTCTATTTTGCACACGTACGCCACATATGAAAGTCACTAAAGGTGTAATAGAACTAAAATAAGTTCGCTATTATTTATTGTAACTTGCTTATGTAAAATATAAGTTAAACTACGAGAATCTCAGGTATAATGAAACCCCGTTCCTAAATTTGTACGTCAGTATAACCTTGGGATAACATCTGTCTTTTATTCTATTGTCCGCGTGGCTAGGGTCGTATACCTGCTTTATGTTGGCATGCCCAATATATGAAATACATACCGTTAGTCTTGAGCGCCACTGCGTAGGGAAAACATGTGCTTATCTTAAACTATCTTTTAACCTATTTTGTGCGTTTTAGATTTTTATAAGAAAAATGTCAGAATATTGTTTTATTTGTACTCATCTTTTAACTGAAAGTGAAACTGTAACTGTTGATCGTGGTATGAAGACACTGATTAATGCAAGTGCTGAAAGAGATGATGGATACTCGGAATTTCTTAAAAAACAAAAATCTGTGACAATACATAGCAACTGTCGTAAAATTTATACGCGGAAGTGTTCTATTGCTGCTGCCATCAAAAGAAAACGCGAAGAACAAGAAGCTAACACATCTACAGGATCTACAGTAAGTAGTCCTCCTCGTACTAGATCCCGTTCAAGTGATTCAGCTTTTTGTTTTAAAAAACTATGTTTATTTTGTGGCAATAAATTGAATGAAGAGTTGCAGAGAAAAAAATCCTTAGATCGTCGCAGTAAAATTTGTCAAGTAAGTACACTCCAATTCAAACATTCAATTTTGGAAGTAGCACGAACTCGTTCCGATGCTATATCGAAAGCTGTTGTTGCTCGAATCGAATTTGACTATGATTTAGTTGCTGCTGAAGCAAAGTATCACCAAGAATGTTATACTTCTTTTTTGAAACCGACTACTGGCGGTACAGTTGGTCGTCCTAAAGATGAAGCAACAGATCTGGCAATGCAGGAAATATTTACATACATTGAGAGTAGCAATGACTGTCAGTTTACTTTGGCTGAGTTAAAAGATGTTAGCAAAATTTTAACTTTAGATAACAGGACTATTAAGCTGCGACTTAAACTGAAATATGGCGATAAAATTATTATCACTGAAAAACCGGGAGCGTTAACATTTGTATGTTTGATAAACAGTCACCATGAAATTTTAAATCAATCTTGGTCCGAAAATAAAAAAAATTAATAAACAAGAAGAACGATTAAAAACTCTAGAAGCAGCAGCATCTATTATTCGAGAAGATATTCAATCCTCGGTATTTGATAATTCCTACTACCCTCCACCAGGTCGAATGTTTGAAGATTTAAATAATGACATCCCACAGTCACTGACATTTTTTTTGGAGCAAATGATCTTAAAAAATAAACGATCAAATTTCGATCATTTAAAACTAGTATGCACCAATATTTGTCATAGTATCATGACTGCTATTCGACCAAGATCGTTCAAGTCCAAATTACAGTTAGGTCTTTCAGTTTTTTTTCATCGGAGGTTCGGGTCTAAGCGTCTTATACAAATTTTGTCGTCTTTTGGTTTGTGTGCTTCTTATAATGATACATTGATGTACGAGTCAGCAGCAGTTTTTCATCCTCTTCCTCATGTCCTACCACCTGAAAGTGGCACACTTATTCAATACGTTGCAGATAATGCTGATATAAATGTTAATACGCTAGATGGTAACAATTCACTCCACATAATGGGTATAATTCAAATTGTAACTCCAAAGCACTCTGTTTTACTAGAAGAACCTATGCAACGAATAAAAGAAGTTCTTTCAGCAAAACACTTCAAAGCAAAAGCTCATGTGCCAATACAGATCTATCAGAATAGTGATGTAGTTGGTTACAGTAAAATATATGTCCAAGATTTTGGATATGGAACTGAAACAGTATCTTTTCATAAAAATTCTGATGTAGTATGGTTTTATGGAAAGTGGAAAAATACATCATTACCTGGTTGGAACGGTTTTATTGAGCGCTTAACAAATTACCATACAAATTATTCAAAATCTCAGATTACATTTTTACCATTCATCCATCAACCAGCTAGTAACTATAATACTGTCTATACTACTTTACTTTGTGCATTAGAGAACGCGAAACGTTACGGCCACACTGTATGCATCGTGACTTTCGACCAACCCTTGTATGCGAAAGCTCGAGAAATTGTATCAGCCGCACCTGACGGCTCTGAAGTATCGAAGATTATTGTCAGACTTGGAGGATTTCATCTACTCATGTCTTATCTCGGAGCAATTGGTTATATTATGCAAGGTAGCGGGATAAAAGAAGTACTCTCAGAAATCTATGCACCAAAGTCATTAGAAAAAATGCTCAATGGTCATGCTTACGCAAGAGCTGTTCGAGCACATACACTACTCCAGCTGGCTTTAGCAATTATAATATTAAAAACAATAGATATTAATGATATCATGGGAGCAGATTTAATCATAAATATTGACCATATATTAGATAGCACTCTTTCATATTCAGATATTGAAAATGATAATGAAGTATCAGGTGCTTTACTTCATAAATTTAATATGAAATTGAAAGATTTTGAGGAACGAGGACCAACAGCGCAACTTTGGATACAATATTTTAATATGGTTTCACTTGCAAAAGAATTTTTGAGAGCTGAGCGTATGGGGGACTGGAAAGCTCATTTAAGTTGTGTAAAAGAAATGTTACCTTATTTCCACTCGTCAGGACATTTTCCATATGCTAAATCTGCACACTTGTATTTACAAGACATGATGCAATTACAGGACTCGATGGATCCTGAAGTTTACGAAAAATTTACCGAAGGATTTTTCACCGTGAGACGCTCAGATAAATTGAGTTGTGGAACTTCTACAGACATGGTTATCGAACAGTCTATGATGAAAGCCATGAAGACAGATGGAGGTATTGCTCGAGGAAGAAGTACAAAACAAAGTGTAATCAGTAAATGGGTTTACAGCATGCATGCAATGAACACAGTTTGTGAGAAATTAGAAGATCTTGCTAATGTTAGGATGGATACGACTGAACAGCATGTTGATGCCAGTGATTCACGTGTAAAAAAAGACGCTAAAGACATACGAATGCTTCTTGAGTGGTTCTCGATTCATGATCCTTTCCCAGAGGTTAACAAAGTCATCTCGATTGCAAGTGGTGTCGTTGGTGATAATACAATTAATTGCTATAAAGCACGTGAACTTGGGCTTATCTCTATTGCTAAAATAACTGGACTGACATTTAAAGATATTAAACTTAAACGCGCTGACAAAGTTGTTCCTCTTTTAGCTATGAGTAGCACCGTAAAAGTTCACGAAGAAAAAGTACCTGTTGACCCAGTGTTATTATTCCAACGTATGAGTGTTACTGCGGCTTTTCAAGATGAAATTGAGAAATATTTCGAGTATGAATTAGCTCCTTATCCGTTAACATTATTTGATGACATTGGAATGCGCAAGACCCAGAAGTCGGCTATTTACGATTGTTTTCAGACTATAAATGTTGATATTAATAACACTAATTCAACGTACATAATTGACGGAGGATTCTTATTACATCGAGTGGTGTGGGATAGCGAGGAAACATTTAACGTTATCTTAGATAAATACGTTCAATATGTACGTCGACATTTTGGTTCCAGAGTTACTGTCGTATTTGACGGATATGATGATTATACGAGAAATATTAAAGCAGCAGAGCAACGCCGTCGAAATGCTGCTTCATCAACTTCTTCTGATATTATATTCGATGAATCAATGACAGTTCCTACCAGTCAACAGAAATTCTTTGCAAATAATCACAATAAATCTAGGTTTATTTCGATGTTGAAAGCAAAATTTACTGCTGAGAATATATCCGTTGAACAAGCTAATGATGATGCTGATGTATTGATTATTGAAACAGCGATAAAGAAATTCAGTGTGACAAATACAACTGTTGTTGTTGGTGAGGATGTTGATTTACTCGTCTTGCTTACTGCTCGAACTCCAACTGAAAAAATTATTTATTTTTTTAAACCCGGAAAAGCCCAAAATCAATCGGAAATATATTCATCAAACAGTTTATCCAATTTTCCTAAATGTCAAAATCATGTATTGTTTCTACACGCAATAACTGGCTGCGATACGACATCTGCTTTTTACAGGAGAGGAAAAACAACAGTTTTCAAAATGTTTGAAAAAAAAGATTTACTACAATGTGCTGAAGTTTTTAAAAATAGTAATTCAACTCAACAACATGTTATCACCAACGGAGTTCAATTTCTTCTTGCTATGTACGGAGCCCCCAAAAAAACCACTTGCTTAGATAAGTTGCGATACACATCTTTCGTGAAAAATACGCGTAATAAAAAACAAGTCAACTTAGCTTCTCTTCCTCCAACCTCAGTAGCTGCTCATCAACATCTGTTTCGGGTATATTACCAAGTTCAAGTGTGGCTTGGTAATCAGCTGGACCCTAAAGACTGGGGTTGGAAGTTGATCGACAATACACTAGAGCCAGTTCAAACTTTACTTCCACCAGCACCTGAGAAACTTCTCAACACAATATTTTGCAACTGCAAGAAAGGGTGTAGTGCAAAATGTGGTTGCAGAAAAGTTGGACTGTTTTGTTCCCTGGCATGCACACACTGTCAAGGCCGATCATGCTCGAATGTTGAGTCACCAACTCTTGAAGATTCGTTTGATACCGATCAGGAATCGCTATTGGGGCAGTTTACGTGTGAAATAGAACAAGAAGAAGAAGAAGAACAAGAGGATGAACAGGAAGAAGAAGGAGAAGAAGATCAAGAAGAAGAAGAAACAGAAATCTTGGACAGTTATGAATCAGACGACTAACTTTTTATTTTAAGTATTTTATTTAATTACACCGCCGTTGTTTTTGCCCACTATAATATATAATATTATTTTGCAATAGTTTTAAAACATATAAAATCTCAGCAGACCCGTGGAATAGGCCTACTGGGGAAACCACGTTAAAAAAAACGCGCTTTGTACACTACCTCATAGGTGGCGTGGAAACGTGTGCAAAATAGAGGGATTACGACTGATCCAACTTTTCGGAACGTTATATCTCCAAAATGGTGGCTTTTAGGAAAAAAAATTATTGATATATTTTTTGTAGAGAATTTTGTGATCTACAATTTTGTACTGGGGTAATTTTGCGAAAAAACTCACCGTTTCGCTAAAAATCGCAAAAAACTCATTTTTTTGACCTTTGACCCCGTGCCAAATTTTTAGCACACCTCGGAACGATGAGGACTTTTGAGATTTTCTTTATAATGATGTTTTGAACAACTATGCCAATATTCAGCTTTATGGGAATTTATGTAAACTTGAATGTGTAAATAGACCGGACTAATGAAGTCTTTCATAGATTTATAAGCGCGGCGATTTAAATCGTACTTCCCAAGCCAGATGTAGGCAGACGAAAAGACTCAGAATTTATCAAATTATTTTGTTATGACTGATTTATAGGTAAAACGGTATATCCTCTATTAATAAAATGCCATTAAGCCAGTAACCGTTCGTTAGCATAAATTATGTAACAAACGAAAAATCAACTAACATATAACTTGTAAGGGTTAATTGTCGTTGAATTGCGTCTGACAACGCAACAACCAAAACCTTTCTTTGACTCCTCTAGCTTTTCTTCTGCTTTTTTAGTTGTTTAGTATTATGCTTTTTTAGTTAGATATGTGATACTTGAACATGGTGTAATGGTTGCAGCTTACAAGCACAGCCTTACAAACGTTGTGTAAAACAAAAAGACTTGGCGATAAAAAAGAGTGGCGGAGAGTTTTTTGCCAGTTCTTCTCTTTCGTTCTACGCCCTTGATTTAAGAACTAGCAGTAAATCTAAAATTGGAAGCATTTAAGCTTCTTGCTACTGCTTCTATTTCTTCTATCCACCTTTTCGGGCGGTCTCTTCTCCTTCTTCCTCTTGGTCCTTTCTATACAGTTGTCTTTAAAGTCCACCTTTAATCTGTGTATCTTGCTATATGCCCCGCCGATTGCCACTTCTGTTTTAGGACATAATGTAAGGCATCTATCACTTTTGTTTTTCGTCTTATTTTTTCGCTTTTAATTTTATGTATTTTTCAACGTATAAGTTTGCAAATATATAATACGTCCTTTCTATGAATCAACTAGAACATACACGTATGACCTAATTTAATTCCATTACAACA